CGGGAGGGGGCGCCGCGAGGGAGCCGGTGAGGCCGGGTGGAGGGGCCCGGGGTTGGAGAGGTGGGGACCCATCCGGATGGGGGGAGGGGGAGGGGTGCCGGGGCCGAGACAAAGGCTCCACGTGGGCCGCCCGGCTCCGAGCGAGCGCGGCCACCCGCCGACTCCAACTCGGGCGAGGGCAGAGGGTGGCACCGCCGCGGTGGCCCCCTCTGGTCGGGGCTGCCGTCCCCATGAGCTCGTCGGTGCTACCCCACGGCGGCTGCTTTTGGGGGGCATCACATTCTGGCAGAGTGCGAAGCTGTGTGTGCCGGCTTTAAGCCCCCGTCGCCCGCGTCAGTGCCTCCCTGGCCCCTGCGTCACCCGCGTCTCTGCCACCTCCACCCGGCTGCCCGGCCCCCTCAGCATCTGCCCAGCGCCCCTGCCCCGCCCGGAAGCAGCCTCGGCGTAGAGACGACGACGCCCCGCCCCCCCCAGCCCAACACCTACCTCCCGCCCTCGGCCTCCTCGCTCTGCCCCGGGCGGCCTCCTGCCCGCCTGCTCCTTCTGCACCGACCCTGGCCTCCGGGGCTGGGCCAGGGCTTGTCTCCGAGCTCCGCGCTCTGAGCTCGGTGGCCCCGGTGAATGGACACCTCCTGGCCCACCTTCCGGGTCGGGGTCCGGCCCTGCCCTGCCCACGCCCCCCTGGCCAGCTCCAGCCAGACGCCGGACACCGGTCACCTCTGCTCCGTGCCCAACGTGCTGTCCCCCGGAGCAGCCACCGTGGGAGCCCGGGTAGGGCGGACAGCTGAGCAGGACCCCAGTCTCCCTCCTGCCTTGACAATAGCCAGCTGTGCCCGGGCACTGGGCAGCAGGTCTGTCCTCAGCGCCCCTCAAGGGCAGCATCTCTCCCGTCGGGGTGCTTTCGTGAAGGCCGGGAGAGGGCCTCCCTGAGCTTTGCACAGCAGGGCTTGGCCTTGATGTCCTGCCTGCGTCCTACCCGTGCTTGCGCCCTTCCTGGCTCCAGCCCGTTGCTCTGCTCTGTGGTCGGGTGAGGTGAAGCTGGCCTCCGCGGGTTGCGCTGAGTGGACAGCAAAGTCACCGTGCACGCCCAGGGGGCCTGCACACAGTAGGTCTCCTGGCTGACGTGCAGCGGGCCCACCTGCTGACTGTCAGGGTCTCGTCCTCCTGGAAGGAAGTGGAGGGTGACAGGGAGGCTCCCATAAAGCCACCAGGTGGCTGAGGCCTGACTGCCCCCCCATGTGTCACCTGTGACCCGAGGCGCCCCCCATCGAGCCCTGACCCTCACCTCTCGCCCCAGGTGCCCAGCAGCTGAGGCTTGGGCCAGGGACTCAGGAGGCCGGGCGGAGGGAGGACACCGGGCGGAGGGAGGACAGAGGTGGGAGGTGCGAGGAGCAGGGCTAGGGTACAGAGGACACGGGGGCGCCGCACGCAGGAGCAGAGACTGGGTGCCCGCGGCAGCCCGGCCCCTGGCCGGCACCCGAGCCCCGCGCCCCAGCCCCCGCTGGCCTTCTCCGCCTCCAGCGCAAGCCGAGCCGCAGCCTGAATTATGGATGAGGCTCCTTGGGTTACAGCTGCTTCGCGCGGCCAGAAATGGCAACAGTCACCGGTGCGCAGCAGCTGTCGCGAAGGGGCCGCGCAGGGTCCCCTCGGAGGCCGCGGGGGGGGGGGGGTCTCTGCCCCCTGGCCCGACGGGTGAGGGGCCTGCGCCACGGCCCGACTCCCGGAGATTGGGGGCTCCGTGACCCCTCTGTCGGTCCTTCAGGGCCCAACGGGAGTCACCCCGAGCTGGGGAATCGGAGTGGGATTAGGGGATGGGGGAAGCGTTTGGCTTCCTCGGGTGTGAGCCCTGAGAGGCTTGCGCGGGTGACTGGCAGGAAGGGCGCGTGGCCTGGCTGGGCGCCAGGAGGCGCTTCTCCCTGCGTCCTGCGCCACTTCGCTGTGTGACCTTGGCGGCTCGCCTGCCCTCTCTGGGCCCGGTTGAGCCAAAGAGAACATTGGAACCTGGAGGGTTTCTGTGGCTCCAGCTGGGAGCCCCAAACACACCCAGGACCCCCTGTGCTCCGGCGGGGACCAGGGCTGAGAGACGCGCTCCTCCGCCCCACGTGGGTCTGAGAAACTCGGAGAGGGTGCTCGTGAAACGCCGCCGGGGGAGGGGTGAGAAGGGCCGAGAAACGCGGAGGCGGTGTGAAGGGTGGGAGCAGCCGCGCTGTGTCACCACGTATGACATCACGCCAGCCCACACGAGCACGGGGCCGGCGCTCACACACGCGCGTGCACACGCTCCCGCAGGACGGCCGGCGCTTTCCACGCACGCGCCCGCTGGTCCTGGGGTGGCGCCGGCGTCCCACGCTGGGCCGTGGGGTTCCCACTCTGCGCCCCTGTGCGCCCGGAAGAGGCCGCCCGCGGGGCGTCTGGGCCACGCACACCTCCTGCCCTCGTGGTGTGAGCGTGCGCGTCAGGCGCGGCTCCAGCTGCAGCCTCGGTCTGGCGCTCGCTGCGGGTGCAGGGGCGACTGCCTGGCTCCGGGGTGCAGGCTCCCCTCCCCGGGGTCCCCTGGGCATCAGCCCCGGGCAGGGACGGGGTCCTCCCGGGCCACGTGGGAAGACAGCCAGGACCCGGCCGCCCCGCACGCGCCCCGAGTCAGCTCTGGCGAGTGGGCCGCGCTCGCTCCCGGGGGACATTTGGTGACCGTCTGGAGACATTTCGGTGGTGACAGCAGGGAGGGTGCTGGTGGCGTCTAGTGGATGTGAGGGAGCTGCTGCGAGTGGGGGCCGAGGCGCGCAGCGCCCGAGGCCGTGTGCGACATTCATCTCTTCGGAGGACTGACAGGAGCAGCGGAGGGCGACTGTCCCTGCTCCAAATTCGTCGCCATCACCGTGCTGTCTCCCTCGGGCTCCTCCTGGGGGTTTGGCTTTCCCAGGGTTTTGTTGGGTGTTTGGTGCCGCACGGGGTCTTGCCCTGTACATAGCCCAGCGGTCCTCCTGCCTCAGCCTCGCGAGTGCCGGGAGGGAGGTGCGCGGCCCCCACAGAGCCCTGGGGGGGGCTCGGAGCCGCCCCAGGCCCGACCTCCCGGCGCTGTCCCGCAGGTCCCCCGGCCTGCCTGTTGCTGCTGCTGGCCCTGCCCGCCGCGGCACCCAGCTGCCCGATGCTGTGCACCTGCTACGCGCCCCCGCCCACCGTGAGCTGCCAGGCCAACAACTTCTCCGCGGTGCCGCTGGCCCTGCCGCCCGCCACGCAGCGGCTCTTCCTGCAGAACAACCTCATCCGCGCACTGCGGCCTGGCACCTTTGGGCCGCGACTGCTCACGCTGTGGCTGTTCTCCAACAACCTCTCCACCATCCACCCCGGCACCTTCCGCCACCTGCAGGCCCTGGAGGAGCTGGACCTCGGGGACAACCGGCACCTGCGCGCGCTGGAGCCCGACACCTTCCAGGGCCTGGAGCGCCTGCAGTCGCTGCACTTGTACCGCTGCCAGCTCAGCAGCCTGCCCAGCACCATCTTCCGCGGCCTGGTCAGCCTGCAGTACCTCTACCTCCAGGACAACAGCCTGCTGCACCTCCAGGTCAGCCTCCTGCCCCAGCCTCCCGCCCTGCTCTGCCCTGCCCTCTCCTGGGGTGCCGTCCCTCTCCACCTCTAACTCCCTGCCTGTCTGCTGTCCCCTCCCGTCCCTCTCTGCCTTTCTCCCTCCCCTGCCTCCCCCGTCCGCCTCCGCCCTCCTGTCTGTGTCTCCTGTCGCACACCCACACCCCACACTTCCCCTGAGCCCAAGTCTGTCTGGGGGTGGGGATGTCTCTATTCATTTATTTTGGAGACAGGCTCTCAATAGGTAGTCCAGGCTGACCTTGAACTCACTGTGTAGCCCAGGCTGGCCTCGACCTCTCAGCGATCCTCCTGCCTCAGCCTCCTGAGTGCCGGGAGTGCAGGCATGCGGCACCACACCCACTTGGCACTGCAGGTCTCTCTGCAGATCTCTCCCTGTTTGCCTTTGGGAAACCCCACCTTTCCTGGGACCCCAGCCCAGAGCCCTCCGTGGCTCACTTTTCTTGCCCCCTTTACAGGCTAGCAGGAGGTGGAGCCACCGCCCCTGGGGTCTCCTGTTTCCAAGGCCCTGGGCACAAGGACCGGGAGACCTCGCCCTTTCTAGAGCCCTGTCTCTCAGCCCCGCCAGCTCAGGGTCCGATGGGAACAGAGGCCCCGACACGGGGAGGAGCGAGTGAGAATGACTTAGCAAGCACTGAGCACCACCCTGGGCCGCTAGGTGCTGAGAACACAGTAACGGACCAGGCAGGCAGTAGGGGTGTGGCCACGAGGAGCCCAAGGAGTCAGGAGCACAGGTCCGGGAGAATGCGCCCTGCCTTGTTACTGCATAAGTCATGCTAGCGTTCCTGGGCGAGGTGGTGCATACCTGTGATCCCAGGACTGGGGAGGCTGAGGCAGGAGGATTCATGTGAGTTCAGGGCCAGCCTGGGCCACACTGACACAGGCACTTAGTGAGCAGCAGGCTGGTGATGTGCACTTTATGGGGTCACAGCCCTGCCATTCACAAGGGCGTCACATTTTTCTT